CTGGGATGAGATGATGGGCCTGGCAAACACAGAGCGACATGTCAACTATAACCACCCATCGATCGGGCTTGTCGACAACTCAGAAGACTACAACCATCCAACGACAAGTAACAACATTTATCAACGCTCGCCGATCTACAGCAGTCCAAGTCCAGGCACGAAGCCCACGAGGGGGTTAAGAGCAGGCGATGGTGGGCCAGGGTTAAGGGGACTTTGGGGGCGCTGGGTGATCTGCCTGCCTCATCATCAAGTTGATGGCCACAGGAGTCTTCAGTCCGCCGTCTCTTGACTGCACTTAGCGACTACTAACGCCAGGTTTCGCCGGTCATGTAACTCAGAAATGCACTGGAAGAAACGGACTTTAAGTTCAGAAAATTATAAAGATTTTAGGGCTTTCGAGGGGATATAATAAATACAAATACTAAAAGAATATATAAAAAAGAATAAAAACAAAAGAAAAAAATTTAGAAATTCAGAAAATAATAAAGATTTTATGCCTCTGAAAAATACTGAAACAGAATATAAAAAAGAAGAATATAAGAAATAAAATTTAAAAGAAAATATAATAATTATATGCAGACATTTCGAAAAAATCTTTAATTTCATAATTACTGAAGATACTTCGAAAACCCAAGAAAAATATTTGATATATACTTTTCAAGATAATTAATAATATTCTCCTATCAATAACCTATCAATAAATCACCCCAAAAACTTTCAAAATCATGGTCTTATCTTAAGTATTTCTACTATTTCTTCTAGAACCTAAAAAAAAATTGTGTGTTCCTTTCAAATATAGTTATTATTTTTTTTTCCATTTATTTATTTTAAAGACTAAAATCAAACAAGTAAAATTATTTATTTAAGAAGCAAATAGTATTAGTAACCCCCTATTTTTTCAAGTGTATGCAATAGAACCTATGCGGTCTGCGACTGGCTTTACAGTTAAGGTCGCTGATCGCTGACAGGTTGCCATCCGCGATCTGCGATCCGCAGGCCGGTGTCGAATGCTGGGCACGATCATTTGCATGTGGCCTGGCATAAAGCATAAAGTTGAGCTCTGGATGACTGGATGGCTCCTTGGATGGACAGTTGTCGTGGCTGGGCTGTCAGCCGGCGGCGCAATTTCTCTCCGGGATTTGATTTATGCCATGCGATCGCACATCGCTCACTTGTCGGGGCCTGAATTTTCGATTTTCGAGGACCGCTGAGGGGGGGAAACCTCTAAGGTGAAGATCTGCCGATCATATCTACTGCTCCACATCAGCGCAGCGATTAAGCAATATGTTTTTTTTTCCGCTCGGATCATACTGATCTCAGACTTACCCACACTTACACCCGCTTATCTGGCATCTCTCGAACCGCTTACGAAATCCGATTCCCAATCGAAATCGAAAATCGCCAGCCGACTTGGGATGGCGATATGTGTGTGCGAGAGTAGAGTACCAAGATTAATGTTGATGCTTTTTCAATTACAACTCTGGCAGCATACAAATTTGGAGTAAAACGTAATCGCTCGTAATCTCAGACGTCCTAAACGACGACTTGGTCCACGATTCCTGCTCAGCACCACCAGTGCACCAATGCACCAGTGACTCCTCCGAATGCAGGCTTTTCCACTGACTGACTGCCTAAGTGGCTGCTGGCTGCTGAATGTTGGATGTGGATGCTGTATACTGGATGCTGGATGCCTGAGCTCGGATTGGATTTCCTAATGTTTGTTTTGCATGAGCTTTTTGTCTTGCCTTCGCGCTGGCATTTCTTTTTTTATATACCCTAACTGGGGGAATTTAAGTTTTCAAATAAAAACTAGAAATAATTAAATTTTTTAAACTATTTTTTGTAACATTTCTAGTAGTTCTTGATTGTTTAAAAATAGTTTTAGCTTTAAAACAATAAAGATTTTAAATTTAAAGTCAAGGATCTTTATAAATCCTACCTCTATCTATTAAATTGACAATATGGACTTATACACTGATAAAAGAAGAATAGTAAAAATAAATATTTTCATATTGAATGCAAAGAACGAAATATTTGAATGAATGGAAACATTTAAATTAAGGTAGAAAATATTATTTTACTTCATTAAAAATAGATTTTCCTATTAAAATCAAAGTTAAACGTTTTCAAAGTTAACTATAATTGTTAAATGCAATATTTTCATATTTAAATTTTATAAAACCAGCAATGAATAAAAATCAAAGCGAAATATATTTGGATTAAATAATAAATCTTTATTTTCAGTAGAAAATTTTAAAAAAATGCATATAAACTCAAAAAATTAAAATAAAATATATAATATATTTATTTTATAAGAAAGAGTACTTTACTCTTTGGCCTCAAGAAGTCAACTAACTTTTTCTAGTTTTTGTTAGCGCTCTGTGACATGCGCCGCTGATTGCCAGGCCAGCTCCTCCTGCTCCTCCTTCTCCTCCTTCTCCTCCTCCCCAAACTCCTTCAGCTCCGCCTGATCCTCTTCTGCCCCCCGGATTTCTTGGCAATTACAAATGCCGCAGCTTGTATCTCGGCCCGCCATCGATTTGTATGGCATGGAATGGGCCACGGAATCGAAATCGGATTCGGAATCGGAGTCGGAGTCTTCGGATATGTGGCTTCCATCGATCGCATCTCGTTTGCTTTGTCAATTGCAATTTGTTATCGCGTTGCCTGGACTAATGGGGAGTAAGTCCCCGATCTCAGGTGGCTCTGGGATATGGGATCTGTGATCTGGGGATTTGCATTCAGCGAAGCGCAAAGAGCGGCTGACTTTCTGTGGTCTATGATTTCCTTGGCTTCTTTTTAAGCACTGATTAGCCGCAGGACAATGGCAAAAAAGGATGCCGCAGCAACAAAGGGCGGCAGAGATCACATGGGCAGAAGTCCCAGTAGGTCACTGGGTGAGGAAATCTTGGGCAGACAATCGGGCGACAGGTACAGCGGTCCTTGGACTCGGTCTATGGCATTGTCTTCCCCGCAAGGTGTTTCCCTTCCTTATACAGCTGATGTGACCAGTTGCATCTGTAGTCTCAGTTTTTTGCAATTGCACAAGAGACGCGCTCTGATTACCGGGGAACTGCAATGATTGCCCTTTGTTTCCCGGTTGGTTTCTTCTGGGAATCTCTTTTTGTGGGCCCTCTTATTTATGGTCGAAAGGTGTTGCTGTTGCAGCAAATGTCGCTAATGGTTTGTCCCACATTGTGTTACGGCAGTCACACATTTTAAGGGATTCAGTTTAATAATGAAAAAGTCGTACAATGAGTCCAGAATTATTTAAGAAATACCTCGTAAATCATTTAATAACTAGAATTTATTAAAAACTAAACATGTAAAGTTTTTCAAAGAGATAAGTAAAAGTAAAAAAAAAAAATTGTTGTGTTTTTTTGTATTTTGAAATTAAAATCTATGTAATACATTTAAGTTATACATTAAGTAATACATTTCTATATTATTTCTTTACCTTCTATTTGAAGTCACAAAATTTTAGTTTATCAATAAACAAATTTAACAACTAAATATGCATAGTTGCCTAAAATGAGTCTTTTATTGAAGTCCCCAACTAATTTCCTAGTATAATAGTATATAAAAGCTTACATGATATATTTTCCATATAAGAAAGAAATAGTAGATAAAAGTATAAATGATAGATTTTCTATTCAAAAAAGACTGCATAGAAAGTGTTTTAACAAATAAATATTTTAAGTTCAATAAGCTATTTTATTTATTGAGTACTTTTCTAATAAGTCATATTTTATTATGTGAAGTTTTTATGAAATTAACCTATCTTAAATTCTAAATAATAAATGTCTTTGTTAGTGGATTACCAAAACGTGCCTAAGCTAATTTTTTTACCCACATATCTGGGACTTATGCTTCATACCTGTCCACCACAAAGTCTTATCACCGCACTCGGCTCTAATCAAATAGTCAGATAAACCTCGATGGGTTCCTCTTTTCCAGGCATGCTTCAGTGGTAATCCAATCCAATCAGGACCTGAACTACCGTCTGCCATGTCAATCAGGACTCGATAAGCAGCCGTCGCTACGTTTATCACCTGCACTCGGTCCTTTGGTGTCCTTTGCTATCCTTTTGGGACTCGGGACGCATGCGCCGAGATCCGTTTGGCAAATAAAATATGCTGGCAAAGGATTGCAGAAAGGGAAACGTGAAGAGAAATGTCGGCTGTGTCAGCTAATTAAATATTTGCATTGGCTAAAGGTGCAAAAAAAATTCCGACTGATATGGATCGATGGAATATTAATATTGGGGGCGGGTTGAAAGGAAGTCCCCGAAATGGAAAGTGTATGACAAATCGGTTCGCTGTTTGCACATGCCAAAGGTGTTTCTTCTCCGGGAATTCGATATTGCTATTGTTGTGATTTCTGGATTTTCGAGAGGGTTGGCGGAAATTGTCACAAAATTTGGGAATGAACCGAGTCCCCAAGATGCGGATGTTTGGTTTCCTGTTAATTATGGTGTATGAGAAGGGTCATAGAAATTAGAGAGAGAAAAGAAAAATGTTTTCCAATGAATGAGAAGTATTTGTTAAACAGTTTCAAATTTAATTTAAGTCTTTCTAGCTTCAATACAAAATTTCATTTAATTTCTAGTCAAATTTTTCCTGTAAAATAATTCCTAGAAATATTTTAGAAGAAATAATAAATACCATTTAAATTTCTTTTATGATTTTGTATATTTTATTTTTGTAAAAATATTAATTCTCTTACAACTAGAAATAATCTTAACAACAGTGGGCTTAACAGTAATGAGAATACATAAATTAGGATAATAATTAAATGAGTAGATTTGGTCGAATGCTGCGTTTTGTGACAGTGAAGCAATATACATGAACTTAGGAACTAGGAATACTAGAACTGAAATAAATATAGTAATAAGTAGTAGCACCAAAACCGAATCGACTTAGTATTAACTAAACTTGGGTATTGTCTGTTTGTTTGGTCTTCGCCAGCGGAATGTTTTAGTTTTTTTAATTTCTAGATTCCTGAGAATCCTACGCAATGGTGATGGTGCAGTTGGAGCTGGAGTGCTTGTTCAGCAGGGACATCCTCGAGAAGGACTTGTGGCACACCTGGCAGGCGTACTTCTTCACATCCACGTGCGTCTGCTGATGGGCTCGCAGATTCGAGCGGTCGGCAAAGGATCGCGGGCAGTCGGGGCACTGGAAGGGCTTCTCTCCGGTGTGGGTGCGGATGTGTCCCTGGAGCAACCAGGGCCGCGAGAAGGCCTTTCCACAAATGGGGCACTTGCAGGGCAGCGTATGGGTGCGAATGTGCATCTTGAGGGCTCCAATGGTGGTGTACAACTTGCCACACTCCTCGCAGGAATGCGTCTTCTTCTCCTGATTGCACTCGGCGGCGGGGCAGTGGAACTGGCGATGCTTTGACAGACCCATCGAGGTGGAGTACATCTTCTGGCACTCGTCGCACTTGAAGCGGTAGTTCTTGGCCACCGAAGAGGCGGCAGAGGAGGAGGAGGAGCTCATGGCAGGAGCATATCCAGAAGAATAGCCCGACGAGGAGCTGGTCACACTGGCCGCACTGCTGGACTTGGCCTCATCGAAGAGGTGGAACAGAGCCGGCAGTGGAATATCATTCCTCACGCTCAGATCCTCGGGCTCGGATCCATTTTCCAAATCCGAACCGGGACTGGAGGGTGGAGTCATCTGCTGGTAGCTGTACACGGACTGCGGAGAAGCCATCGAGCTGGCGGGCGAGGGAAAGGCGTTGACCAAATGGGGCTGATAACTGCTCCAAAGGGCGGAGATCGGGTTGCAACCGGCGGCCATCACAAAGGCGGACTGGAAGGGATTAACCGGGGAAGTGGTGGTATAACCAGTAGTTCCAGCTGTCAATCCACGCATATGGATATCGGTGGGCTGGTAATCCTGATCCTCCACTGGTGGCGATAATAGACAGGAGTTGTAGCTGGAGATCCTTTCCGGTGTCTTGGAGAGATTCAGCACATAGTCGCGTTTGGGTTCGGGCTCTGGGTAATCCTGGGGCGACTCCTCTTCGCGGCTCCTCTTGAGGGACAAATCCTGCGGCTGATCCTGGGCAAACTGCGAGTCCTTGGTGAGAGCCAAGGCCTCCGTTTGCGGTAGTCGCTCCTCCACGAAAACAATGGGGCGCTTCTTCAGCGGGCAGCTCTTGTAGTTGGCGGCCATTTTTATGAAGTGCGTTTAAGTTTTTAGTTTCCGGTTAGAAGAGAGATCAATTTAAAGATCGTTGGTACGTTCGAGCTAAGATTTTCTATATGATGCGATTTCGATTTTTCGAGTTATAGATCGGTTGTTGCGTTCTCAACGAGAGCTGAGGTGGCTGTGACAGGTCGACTGCCGAGCACGCTCTTTTATACCCGGAACTCCGCTGCCTCGGCCTCTGCCGGCGTCGCTGCCAGCATTTGGTGGTGGTTCTTCTTCAAAACAACAGAAATACAACAACAACAAGACTCACACGTGTGCGTCGCTACCTAGCAACAACAACAATAGTACATTTCCCATACCCTTATTGCGTATTTCCCTCACTTCCCAGCCCTACCTGCTCTCTCTCTCTCTACCGCTCTCTCTCGCTCTCTTTTAGGGCAGAAAGCAGGCGCAGGCGCACCCTCTTAGGGAAAAAGGATCCCTAACCGATACGATACGATCCCCCCTATAAGTTATGACAGCTCTGCTGGCTCTCCAATTTCTATCCACAACACAACCCACCCGTAATAACTCCTGCAGGTTTCGGGAAACTCTAAAATACAAGTTACACTATCGCTTCCCTACCTATAGTATGCCACCCTAAGTAATTTTCTATTTTTAAGCACGAGTCAAATTGGACTCCTATTATTTGGGGGTGGTTTCTGCACTTAGATCGAGTGCCAGTGCTAGGAGTACATCTGCCGGGAAACTAAATTCAGTTTTTCGGTTGGGGGTGGGGGAGTTGAACCTGGACTGACAAAACTGACACCTTCGCAAAGAGAGGTGTTCCAAAAATAACACCACTGATAATGAGCCGAATTCCGAGCACCAAGTGTCAACTCCGGGGTGCACTCTACGCTGACTTATGGATCATCTCCAGTGGCTCATTGCCAGCGATCGTTGGGAGTTGTTTGGGAGGAGATTTTTCCAAGGGATATAGGAACTGTCATTACATAACTAGAAAGGAACTGACTTAATGTCTAGTCTCCTGCGAGCTTACCTTTGCTCTATGTAGTGATCCTGTTCCCACGATTTGTTTTAAAACTTTAAACATGTTGATGATATTTGGAAACATGCAAAAGCAATTAAAGGTTCCAAACTAAAAGTGATAAATGACCACTTTTAGTAAAAAGCTAGGAAATTAGAATCCATCATCAATTATTTGAAAAATATTTAATTATATTATAACAAAGCCATATTATAACAAGCAAAGTCACAAAACTATCTTAACTAAACAATCATCAAACATTTTTATGATAATTCATTTACTTATACTTTTTACCGATTTTGTATATACCTTAGCAATAAATCCTATAAATTTAATTTAGCTTATCTAAAATATATAACTTTGCACTTCAAATAAATAATAACCTTAAACTAAACTATGTTAAATGATTTTCAGAAATGAAATACCTTATTAAAATATTTTTAAAGTTTTTTATATTTATGCCTATTTTTAAAGACTAGTTCCTTTTGAAACATTTGAAAAATATACAGTTTTGTGTACATTTTATTTTGCTTTTAACATTCAAAGTGCCAAATAAAACCATACAGCATACAAAACATCCAAGTCCTGGACTTTTCCCACCTCCCCTGATCTTTGACTCGTTGCCTCATCGCGCACACACAACTTTCCCACCGAGCACCTCCAGACTTTTCCGCCACCCCTCCAACTATCATGGCTGGGAAAGTTTCCCAACTCAACTCCCACTGCCGCATGGAGGAAAAACAGACGAGCCCGCATAGCCAAGTCCGATTTCCCGGGGCTGTCGAGAAATGAAAAAACCAGGCGAGTTGGTAAAATGGGAAAAAATCCATATTAAACCCAAAAGTTTTGATAAACCCAAGAGGTGACAAAAAATTCCAGCGCGGAATTCCAATTCCCCGATCGCGATCCTTCGATCCTGCGACCAATGGCGTGAGGGAATATGGGAAATATTCGAGCCAATAACCCAGCCGCATTTCCATTTCGTATTTCCCTGCCGCGTATTTTCCTCTTTGGCAACTCTCCGGATGTGGATCAGAGTATGGATTTAAAGTAATTTCCCAGCTTATCCAATTACGCAGTCAGCGAAACTCAAGCAAAACAACAGCGGCGAGTGGGAAAACTGGCTGGGGGTTTTTCTTCCATATCGGATATATCCTACCTGGTGGGTCATCCCGGATTCCGTTGGTTATTACGTGTGTTATTCCGCGCAACCACGACAGCCATGGCCCGCACATATCCCATATACCTAATGATCACCTCGTCGAAATCCTGGGCCGCGGAATTGCCCGCAGGACATCGCGGATAACCCGCCGTTCGTCATTCATCCCGCGGGAAAATCCGCACTTGTCGTCCGCACACACATCCGCTGAAGTACCGAAGTACCTGACTTGCAAAAATCCCTGCTCATTAGCATTAGGTAGATGATTGGGCGGCCAGTGTTTTCCACTTCATTCATTAACCCAATATTTTGGGGAAAACCCTTTCGGGACTTCTACCTTTCCACCCCCGACTCGCTTGGGATTTCTGCAGGTGCTCAGCTGCTTTCCGATTTTATTGTTGTTCCCTGGTTGATTTTCGTTGACAATGGGCCCGTCCCATTTTTGCACCTTGTCCTGGGCTCATTTGTTGTATGGCGAACACAAGGATCTGCAGAAAAGAATTCAGTCGGCATTGTGAGGAGAGGAGCCGGGAGAAAGACTGCAAAAAGAATTGGGTCAAAAGGGAGGGAAATTGGTAATGGAGGAATGTTGGAGAAAAAAGATGTAGAAGAATTTTTGAAACGTTGATTTAAGCGGTTTTTATTTTGTAATATTTAATCGACAATATCTTATTCAATGTACTGCCAATTACTTATTATTTTATTTGCTATTCAGCAGCTCCTTAAAAACATTTAAATTATATTTGAAATATTTATTTTTTTTAATTTAATTTAATTTAATTTTTCCCTTATAACTGTTTTTCCAGCTTTCAAGTCTGAGTTTTTCAACCTTAGACCCCCACTCCTTCACAGTCCAATGGTTCCAGTTCCATCATAACCTAACAGTAACTCCAGCTCACCTGGCCCGGTGCACCTTTTGCAAAAAAAATAGATACGAAGAGGAGAAAGGAAAAAGAAAGGAACGAACATTAAGGATACCACCAAGGAAAACAAACTATGGCCCAAGATATACGATGTGTGATCTCGTTGACAATGAATTGTTGATTACTATTACTATGCTACCCCCAGGTCGGGCTCTCTATTTTTTTGGCACGAAACAAAGGAGCTGCGATCCATAAATCGAAGATCGGAGAAGCAGGGAAAATCACTGCCACGGGCCGGGTGCATTGCACAATCAATAGGTTGGCCATACAATGGAGTAAATGTTTTGAGAAGCCAGCGAAAGGAATTGCTTCCCGGAATCCTCCGGCGATGGCGGCGTATCAATGTCCCTTAGCCAGAAGAAATCAAAAAGTTGGATCACCTGGCCGTATCTGTCGGCGATTATGTGCGGGTTTTTTATACAGCAGCTACAGCTACCTGTATGTCCCATTGTCTGCGCCAAATTGTGAATGACCCCCGAACCCAGACAGACCCCAAAAACTATCCGAACGGCAAGCTCTATTGTCGCAAGTCCTGCACTTGTGGCAGCTGCCTTGACTTTCGGTTCGATTCCCCTTGGTTTTCCTGATTTCTTCGGTCCCTTGCAGGTTTTCGCGCCTATTCACGGTTCGTTATCCTGGCAATGGCATTACCAGCTCTGTTGTCAGCGTCCTGTCATCCAAAGGTAGCCCCCAACTTTCCATTATCCTGCGACGACTAAGCTGATTAGGGCACATCGCGTGTGTCCTGCTTGTTGGCCACACTAAACACTCTGTTTAGCCTATTACACGTGTCTCCTAAATGAAGTGTGTAAATATTATTTAATTCTGTTGCGGTGATTATGGGGTACGCATAAAAAAGGGAGAGTTTTTTGTCTGGTCAGTAGGGGTGGAAAGCGATTATGGATTTAATAATAGTGATTTCCGCATGGAAAATATAATGAAGAATTGTAAAGAAATGGACAAGGATAATATGAACTGATAGATTAAATGATAAATATTCTGGTTATAGCTTTCAAAGTATAATAAAATGTTGCAAATACATTAATCAAAGTAAAAAGTATTAAAAATATGAATATTATATTATATTATACATATATTTTGCTATAGAAAAAGGCCATTAAACCCAGGAAAACTTCCTTGGGGAAGTCCATTTTATGTCCCTCTTTAATCCTTGATATATTGGACATTTCTTCCCCTATCCAGCAGCCACACACCAAGTTATGCGAGGTCAGGCCGAAGGAACTCCCCTATTAACAGGATTTCCAACACCTTTTGGCAGGACCTCAGTGCCCAAACACAAGAAGGATGCTCCTTAGACACAGACTGCAAAAAAAAACCCGCTAAGGAAAAAATCATTGCACCGGGCGGGCGGGTGAACGGCCAATAACAATGCGGCCAAGGAAACCCAAAGGACATCTGCAGGCAGGCAGTCAGGCAGGAGCATTCAGGACTCGGAAATCAGGAATCACTGAAATAATGTCAACTCGAGGGTGGCGCGTTGGTGGCTTGGCATTGACAGCTGCCGCTCAGCCCCGAAATTCTCCTCGGATTCTTCTCCTTTGGCGCGTCTTCGTCCTTTAGGCCCTTAGCTTGGGTTTTCAGTTTTCCGTTTTAGGTTTTTGATTTTTGGCAAGACGTGCATCTGTTTGCCCTCAGCCCAAAAAAATCGAGTTTCGATTCGGACGTTGACTTGCATCTGCGGGCGCACAATGGCGATGATGAGGAGGGGAATCCATCAAGTACACCTGGGAAAATATGGGAATAATTGCAAAATGCGAATTGGCCAATTTAAATTAATTTAATTTCAGTAAAAAATATTTATAAATATTATTAAACAGATCTATGTATTTTTATTAACATATATTGGTAGGGTAAAAAAGTGATTTAATTGTTTCAATATATTCTTTAAATTTTACTTACTTTTACAGAAAAAATAAATACATTTTACAGAAAAAATAAATAAATTTTATTGAAATAATATGACGTATTGATATTAAATTATATATTAGCTTCGAGTGTTATAGGAAAATCCTCACATGATAGCTTTTTGCAATTTATTTTGGAATAAAGTTTGCAAAATCAATTTAAAGTAACTAACGATTTTTCTGAGTGCCTAGAAGAGCCACATTCATGATCGTCATCGGAATACGAGTAATCACAGTCGGGGCACAGGACACAACAATAGTGCACCGTTCGAGATTTTCAGCATTATTTGAGCATTTTTTTTGGCGGCAGGCCCTGGGCCCACGGGGTCCTACCTGAGCCACATCCTTTGTCGACTCCTGGCCTGCCCTTTGATTCCGAGCTCTGAATTCTGGATTTCATTGCCCGGCTGGAGGCTGTCGGGAATTTGAATTGGACTTCTGGGGTAATGCAACCGCAATTGTTTCGCCCCTTTGTTCTCGCTGGCGTTTTGGCATGTGCAGGGATTCTTGAAGAGAATCGGGCAAATGAGTTCAGTTCCGATTTCTTTTGTCCACCGGTTATGCAGATGCATATTCCTCATCTCATCTATAGTAGGTTGCATCACAGCTGCCCTTTTAACGGAGCAACTCAAGATCGGAAGATGGAAAACGGAACAATTTTTATGCAAATTGTATTCGTAGTAATCATCTGCTTTAAATGATAACAGGCCTGAGTAAACAGTTATACTTAATCTTTATTGTTTTGTTTTGATCATTTTCTAAAACAAATTATGGATTTGCAAAGCATTTAATCATAGGAATATTTCTATATTTTTCTTAGCCAATTTATGTATTATAAATAAATCTATATCTATAGAATTAAATATAATAATAATAAACTAACATTTATTATTAAAACTGCGAGTCTAATCCCTCCTCCAATACTTTTTCCCACTGGAGTTTGCACTTTCCCTGTGATTTCCCGGTAAAATATCCCCTTAGAAAATGTCCCGAATTCGTGGGAAACCCCAGACCAGTTCGCGTCCTTCGCCGGAATGGCCAATCCTTTCAGGCCACTCGCATAATGTGCCCACATTAACACCAAATCAATCTGATCCCAGCTCAATCATTTATAAGCGACAACAATTAACGTGGAAATGAAGATTTCAGTGTAAATCCAGCAAACAATATGCCCTGTATTTACAATTACAAATTAAAGAAGTTCCAATCCTGCCACCATTTCCATTGACAAATGGATCTTAGATAATGTTCCCGGGAGTGAGAGCAATCAATCGAGTGCAACACTTTCTAACGATTTACATGTCAAGTTGACGAGAGTTGTCCTGGAAAACAATGGACTGGCGCTACGTGTGTGTCCAGGTGTCCCCCTCATACTATTTATATGTCCGAAACCATCGATTTCGGTTTCGATCGGGGTTTCACTTTCATTTGTCACTGCTGTCTGACACCTTGTTATGCGGAGATATTCATCGAGGGTCTAAAGACTCCCCCCTTTATTTTTTCTGCGTCGAACTAAACAAACACAGTTGCGGCAGTTTCAAAATTTTGATTATGCTCGCGTGATAATTATGCATGCAATCGTAATCGTAATCGTAAGCTTCCCTTTCTGGAATATGTAGTATGGTTTTGGTTCTGGTTTCGTTCGGTTCGGTTTTATCGGCGGACGACAATCGGTCTCATTGTTTCCGTTTCCCACCGTCTGCCTTTTGTAGGAACTGCGTCTTTGGAAAGAGCCCCATCCCCATACCCATACCACTCCCCATCGAAGTTGTCCAGCTGCGGCAGTAAATTTTATGGTTAACTACGGTCCGACATTTGTGCTATTTAACCTTTTTGTGCCTGGGAGCTTCGGGCCAAAGATTACCGATCCACGTGCGACTCTGTTTGCTCTGCAACTCTGGTTCTGTATGCTAATGGGTTCTGGAGGGGTGGAGCTCAAATAAAACCAAGTACTTTTCACTCACAACCTGTAGTTGGAGAATAGAGTTTGAAATTCTGATGTTTGGGATACTTGGTTCCTTATAAATCTATCAACAAACAAGTTAAAAGGTATTTATACGAGGTTTTTGTATAATTTGAACAACATTTAATTATATAGATGGTGAATACGATACAATTATTTTCCAACAATAAACATAAATTGTTTTTAAAAATTAAAAACAATTAATTTAGAATTTAGATATGATAATACTCCTTTTCAAAAGACTAGTAAGGTATGCCATACAAATCACATGACTTTTTCGGATTGTTTAACATTCCACAATTTCAGAAATTTTCCACATACATTTTGAGCCCCATCACGTCACAAAAAACTCAATCGTATATCACAAACGCAAGTCTAAAAATTCAACAAATTTAGTTTTCAATTTGTTCTTTTTTCGGCCAGTGATAGGAAATCCTTGCAGAATGGAGGAGTACTCTCGGGAACCGTGTCCCCATCGCATTGTTGACGATTGCGGAGGGGCCTTTGCCATGGGCTGCATTGGAGGCGGGGTCTTCCAAGGACTCAAGGGATTCCGGAATGCGCCTCAGGGCTTCGGGCGACGGGTCGCAGGGGGTGTGGCGGCCATGAAGGCCAAATCGCCGGTCATTGCCGGCAATTTTGCGGCCTGGGGAGCCGTTTTCAGTATTTGCGATTGCAGTCTGGTCCAACTGCGCAAGAAGGAGGACCCATGGAACTCGATTATTAGTGGAGCGGTGACCGGCGGAGTTCTGGCCTCTCGCAACGGAGTGGCCGCCATGGCAGGAAGTGCCATCATCGGGGGCGTCCTGCTCTCCATGATCGAGGGTGTGGGCATCCTGTTCACCCGCATCTCGGCGGATCAGTTCCGGAATCCTACCCCACCATCGGTAAATGAGGCCGCCGCAGGATTCGGCGACTTGGACTCCTCATCGGGCTTTGGATTCTCTGGCGGCCAGCAGGCCAATGTCACTAGCTAAATTTAATTAATTTTTATTTTTAAACCGAAGCCGGAATTTAAAGTGCTAGAAGTGGCAGAAAAAATATGTTACAGCTTTATTCCTTGCATGACAAATGTATACAAAAAATTATTTATGAAATGGGAAATAAATTAATATCAAAATTCCAGTTATTGAACCATCTATAGAAACAATTATTTATGCAATAAAAAATAAATTAACAAAAAAAAATTCAATATTTTCTTTGAAAAGAAACTTTATGCAACTTAAAAAATAATTATATAAAAGGCAAACTATTATGTTCCACAATAATACTGTAAAAAGGATTGTCCTTTAATTAGACCCTACTAAGTTTTGTTTTTATACCCTTATAATTTCAGTCAGATGTTTGCAACGCAGTGAAGGAGACGTTTCCGACCACATAAAGTATATATATTCTTGATCAGCATCACTAGACGAGTTGATCTAGCCATGTCCGTCTGTCCGTCTGTCCGTTTCTATGCGAACTAGTCTCTCAGTTTTAAAGATATCGCGATGAAACTTTCCCGAAAGTCTTCTTTCTATTGCAGGTAGTACATATGTCGGAGCGAGCCGAATCGGACCACTATATCTTAAGGCTCCCATAGGAAAAAGATATATAAGAAAATTCATTGTTACTTTGTAGGAAGTAGGCGTTTTAATTCTTGACTCTTTATAAACAAAATTCAAAAATAGAAACGCTGAATCTGGAATCCCTGGAACTGCACGGAGTGAGCATTACTTTATCTGCAAGGGTATATAAGCTTCGGCTGGCCGAAGGTAGCTTCCTTTCTTGTTTATGAATGATTTTAATATATATATTTTGTTTTAATATTTTAAAATAATAATAAAATTTTAAAAAAGTGTATTAAAAAGAACCGTTCATAAGAATTAAGATATCACTGTACATTTTTCTACCTCATACACAGAAAACCGCTCCTTAGTAATTGGCCAATCTTTGTTTAAACTGTCTAATTATCGTTTCCCATTCGACACGGTTTGTGGCATTTTCATATTCAAGATTGCCTCTCAACAGGTAGTAGGTGTTTCGTTTCACACTTGCCTGGATCCACGACCAAAACACCTGACACGTGTCAGAGGTCAGTGTGAGATATTGGCAAATGTTTACCTGTAGCTATTTCTACCTGCCGCTGCTGCGCCGGCGCATAAAGTCAAGTGTCAGGGGTCAGGGGGTGTGGCCTCTTTACAACCTGTCCACTCGAGATGACCGCGGTGTTCTGTTCTCACCCATTAGCATTAGTCGGTGCTGAGTGGCACTGGCTACCGGCCAAAGGCCACATGTCCCGCTCTCCTCGGGAAAATCAGCAAATCGCAAATCGAGCATTTTCGAATCAGAGTTTTCCCCCGCAAGGCAAAAAACCAAGGGCGAGGGCCATTTCCCAGGACACACATGGAGAAACGAGGACGTTGTGGGAATATCGAATATATGTGTAGGGGAAGTCGAGCCCAGTTATAAAATCGTGGGAAAACGCCGCCTACCAGGGAATCCCTTTTTCCTCGGCCAACATGGAAATTTCTTCACAACATATGTAACTTTGGCTCGTGTGTTTTTCTTCTTTTTTTCGCGAGCGCCTTGAGGAATTCCGCAACAAAACATTTGGACACGCCTGGCGCTACGGGAAAAGCACAGGAGTATTATCATGTGGCCCGTATTGCAGGATGTGTGGGAACTGAGAACTGGAAACTGGGAATCGGGAATCCAAGGACTCGCACCTACGTAGTAGTACGTGCTTTGGCCCGGTCTTCTGGCACATGTGTGACCAACTGGACAGGGCAACCCAGTACTGTTTGTTTTCCCAGCTCCGCAGTTGGAGTTCCACTTCCATGTTGTGCCATGTGTGAGAGGACCAGGGAGAACTCCCTCATGGGAAAACGCAGAGCCCAGCGAAGTCGAAGGTACTACCGAAAGGTGAGAGGGAACTACATGTGGGACTTCGCAGAAACACAATAGTTCAGCGAGTTATCCCTCTTGCACGGAGAAAAAATGTTAAAGAAATTAGAATTCCACTCTGGACATTCCATGTGACCTATAAAAAGATTTAATAAAATATGAAAGGAATCCTGAAAGAAATTAAAAAAAATAGAACATGCCTACTTATTTATTTGTATTATTTGGTACATGTGTCCTATAAAAGAATTTAATAAAATATCATATGATATGATTATGAATAAAAATTAAAATAAACTCCTTTCAGAGTCAATAAATAAATTTGAGGTATTGTCAAGAAATTTGTATGAATATATCAATTTGTTTTCTATGAAAAACTATTTTAAATCAAAGTTAAATTTTATATTTTGAATATTAAAAGGAACTTAAAATCTCTTTTTTTATGAAAAATTTAAAATCAAATTTAAATGGAACTGAAGAGGATTTCAAGTCCTCAAACAGTTCACACCTTCGCCTGGACAGGCTTGAGATTGGTATTAAAAACAGGACCTAAAACGGGGCATGTGGCCAGCACATGTTTGGCGTTGGCCAACAAAACACCTCAATGCGAGAAATCAACTCAAATGGAGGATCGTTTCGCATGCTGCGCCCGCATGGCGCTAAACGCGAGCCATTTGTTAGAGATTTAAAGAAAAGGAGAATGGGAAAAATATTCAAAGGAATAACTCTCTGTTTATCATGACAAGTTTAGGTAAGTACAGCCAAAACTGGGAAACTATTCTGTTTGTAGTTCCCCTTTAATCCTATGCGAACCTTGGCACATGTCAATGTCAAACGTTGAACCGCAGTCGAATTGAGTCGAGGCGCATTAAAGGCATTTGCCGACTTGTTGGCACCTTTCGAGCTCTCTGCACTAGAGGATTTGCATTTCCAGTAGAATTTCGTATTTGTATTCCAGAAATCAGGCGCCAAAAATCTCATGCATATATGACACACATTTCGAGTGGGACTGGGACAAGTCTGCAGGCAGACCAATGCATTTATTACGCGACTTGATTTTAGAATTCCTAAAAAGCTGCTGTTAGGGGCATAAATTAGGCTCCAGCCCCCAGAAAACTGGGGCTGAGTTCACAACAAGTTCAAGGGTGCTACACAGTTGAAAATAACATAATAAATAGGTATTTCCATTAGAAAATTTTATAAAAAAAAAATAGTTTATAAATATATTAGTTTTAATAACTTCCTATTATTAGATATATTTGTAATGACATTTGGTATAAATAAAAAATGTTTCTATTTATTTTGTTGATTTTTTGTTTACAGGAAACCTTTACGCTTTAAAGAAAATAGTTTGAAAAATTATAAAAAATAGCTTATAAAATATAAAATTATTTAATAACGGTTACTTTTGTTCTGACTGTACTTTTTCCGACTTGGAATTTCATGGCACACCGAATCGGAGAATTAGATACAAAAATGTGTGGAGTGCAATAGTTTGCAAGGCAATGACTCTTCTCAAGTGGCCTGATCTACGGATTGTCCGACTCCATTTGCATTATTTCAACCGCATCGATTATCGCTTTCAATTTTCAACTACCGCTTACTATGCATGCGATCATTTGCATGTTTTCGGCTGATGAAATTGATGAAATCATCATCGGAAAGAGCAGCTGTCGGAAATTCTTCGTCTTGCTTGAAAAGGGAAAACTGCATCCACCGAGGGCTACGTGATCTGGGATCCGTGATCCACCATCAGCTCCGCTGACCTTATCCCAGAAAAACCCGACTGAGCTTCATTAAAATAGCTATCCATGTTTACTCGCTCGATCAAAGGGAATGCAAATCAAAATTCTTTGAAATCCGTCTGAGAAAGGTTCAGGTGATAAGACTTGCATATATGGAGTAAGAGTTCTGCATTGTCAAACAATTTCTTGGAATTTTCTGTGGACGATGTGGTAGGTTAGTATTGAAAAATCCAGCGAATCGAAAATGGAGTGTGCGGTGCATTGACCCAATGAAGGTTTTTTAAAAGGGGGGAATTAAGCGATATCTTTATAAAAATATATCATATATATATATCAAGGCATTTAGTACTTTATGATCCTAATTTTTAAAATAATTTTTAAGTCATAAAATCGCAAAATATAACTTAAATTATTTGTTAAAAATATTGTAAAATCAATTTCCTTTATATATGATGGATTTAAACAGGATCATTGTGGTAATTTTTTTTTTTTGTATGCCGATCCTAAATAATATAAATATAAAAAAAAAAAATTTTTTTTATTCTTTTATAATAATATAATTTATTAGGTATTTATTATTTTTGTTTAAAATGGTTCTGGGTTTTTTGTTCCTTAAGATCATCGACCCAATTCAGGAACCCCCTTCATGTTATGCAATTCCCTTGATAAATTAGTTATGTTTTCCCGTTCCCTCATTAGGCGATTTGTTGGCCCAAACTCCTTATCCGTTTTCCGTTTTTTTTTGGCCAAGGGCTCAACTTTGCGCTTTTCGAAGTCATTAGGCCGAATTAAAGGCGGCAAAACGGAACGCAGAATCGAAGGCAAATGGCAAATTATTCACTGTCAGGCAGGCGAAAAAGCAAAACGCAGAATGCAAATGCTGAATGCTGGTGGAAAATGCTGTAAATGTGCTGGAAAAGTGCAGCGGCGGGCAAACAATTGCAGTTACTAAGTACGAAAATATTATTGCCAAATGGTCGCGCCATCGATTTCGGTCGGCTGATAAGACCCAGCAAGTCGGGCCATTTCGAAGTCAGAGTATCGGGGTATCGAGTGGAAATCCATTGTAAGTGCGGCTTTTATTTTCAAGGCGAGTAGCTTCAGGTCCTAAACGCCGTCAATTGTTGACTTTAATTTGTTTTATTGGCGAACGACGAGCGAAGGAGCGACGACGACGATGTCGATAACGCTAACTAAGCGGGTCAGGGCTGCCGGGTTATTGTCTATCGAAAAGTTAGGAGGGGGAAAGGGGGTTCTTATGGCTACACACGTCGTATACGCAACCTGAGCAACCCGGGAGATTTGCATAACAAGGCGTTCAGCAACAAGTCTTGATACCTTTAATGCCTTTAGGAAGTCACTCGCCGCATTCCCGACCTGAAAAAAAAAAACAGAGAAATAAACAAACAACACATATCTGTTTACAATAACAAAGGGGGTAGCTAAGATCGTGGTTGGGGCTTTCGGTTTTCGAGTCCCAGTTTCAGTTCCAGTCCC